AGTATCATTGTGTTTGTACACACATTTAGGAAGTGCTGCAAGATGCGTTAGCTTTGTTGATATGGAATTAATTGTTTGTCTAGAAATTTAGAACAAACATCTCGCTAAACCTGCTATGTACTGCCTGGTGTAGACTCGTGAGCAATAAATTCGTCACTTCCAGTAGTCAATTTTGCGAGTCCTCCAATCGCGTGCCACAGTATCAAGTTTCCCTTGGGGTATAGTTCACTGGGAGAGCTGCCCTCCCTATCACCGGGTTATGCTTCACTAGTCAAACAAGGAAGGTGAACCAGTAAAGTTGAACTTTACGGAACGGCATTCTGAGTTTTAAGGGGAAGAACACTCCTGGGTGCGTAGAATGGTGGGGGCACTTATTTCGAGGTCAAATAGGGAATATATATTTTAGTATAGTAAAGCCGAGTGAAACCAGGAACGCCTCGAGTGTTCATCAGCCAAGCCCCGAAAAGATCGCTGGGCATCAAGTCATCCATCCATCAATAATGTCGCGCGCGTCGAATTCGAGATCCAGGATTCATACGAGGGCGCAATGCAGTTGGATTGGGCTGTTGTTCTGGCGCGCGGCATTCGTTCGTTCCCATCCACGGTCAGCGGAAAAGGTGCTGCCGACCTTCCGCCAAAAGTCAAGAGGAAACAAATCTCAAATCTTTCCCCATGCAGGCACCGCAGGGCGTGCCTCCCCCCACCCCCAGCGCAGGTAAACCCATTCCGCCCACCCTCCCTCCCTCCGCCCTTCCGTCCCACCCCACCCACCCACCCTCTTCGCCCCTCTCTCCCCACTCTCACTTCCACCTGCCTCCACTTCCCCCTTTCCCTGTGCGTACTCCTCTCCTCACCCCCGCTTCCGCCCTTCGTCGGGGTTGAATGTGAGCAACCCGTCCTTACTGCCTGCCTATTCCTATCTCTAAGGCAGAAATTTCTGGAGCCTAGTACTGTAGCTGGTTACCTCTCTTGTTCCCCTTCAGTTAGTTAGATCCGGGTCGGCGTTGGATAGAGATGGGGGAAGCGTTTAGTACATGATCCTTCTCGTAGTCCGGTTTCCGTGGGTTCCTCGCGCTCAATACATTCCCCCGGTTACATTCCCCTGGTTCCCTGTGCTAGTGTGTCAATCTCGTCCCGCTTACGAGTACCACTACCGGTCTCACATTCCGTCTAAAATTCCGTCTCCATGCCGACGTCAACGGACGGAGCGCAAGGCGCTCCGCCTCAAGGGCCTCTCGCGGCGCGCGTGAAAACATACACGTCGGTGCAAAAGTTCAAGGATAAGCTGAAGCTGCGCACGGCAGCGGGGGAGGTGAAGCCAGCGGTTCGGTTTTGACGCCTGGGGGAGGCAGCGCGCGGCCGATGACGGGCGGCGATCAGGGGAAACGACTGCTGTCCCAGTCGGCTGTAAATCGATGGCTAAAAGTGAACTCTCAAGGTGAGGCGAGGGTGGGTTATAGAATGTATAAGTATCAGGAGCACGGCGGATGTGATCGGATCTGTAGTTGTTTAAGATTGCCCCAGCTGCTGCTCTTGTTAGAGGCATACGTGCTCTGAATATGCAACGTTTTTAGTGGCAGATGTTTCGATTTGTTGGTTTTTTTTCCACATGTCTTTAAATATCTGCTTCTTGCTTCCTCTCGCCTTTCTGATTTGCTTTCTCCATTTTGACGAGCATTCCATCCTTCTTTCCGTCGTCTTTTGTTTCGTTGGTCTGCTTTTTGAAAAAAAGTGGCGTAGAGCGGGTCCAATCTATAGGTCATGTTCGCCGCATGGTTTGGTTCGGTAATTAAAGAGGCTGCGGTGCGGTGCCTGACTGGATGAAACAGCCTGCCTTCGCTATGTGCCGGGTGCTGGCACACGCGAAGCCTTCATTTCTCCATCACTTCCTTTGCGTCGCTCCTCTACTCCCCCGTCCTTCCTGCCTCTCTCCTATGCGCCTCCGCTCACTCTCTCTCTCTCTCTCTCTCTCTCTCTCTCTCTCTCTCTCTCTCTCTCTCTCTCTCCTCTCTCTCTCTCTCTCTCTCTCTCCACATCTGTCCCGTGTGTCTTGCTCCTCCCTCTCTATTTCCTCTCTCGCCTGCCTTGCAGATGCCGCTAAGTGCGCGGACGCCGCCCACAGGCTCCTAGACGAGGGGGCAGACTCCTCTGGCAAACGTTCCTCTCTCTCTTACTCTTCCGTCTCCTCTTTCCTTAATCCCCTTTCTTCCTCCCACTCTACCTCCTCTCTCTCTCCCCCGCTGCGCAGACGCCGCCAAGTGCGCGGAAGCCGTCCACAAGCTGCTAGACGAGGGCGCGGATTCGTTCGGCAAGCGCGCGGAGCTGATGTACGCGCGCCGCCCAGACATTCTCCAGCAGGTCGACCTGCTGCACAACCGCTACTTAACTCTCGCGGCGCGCTACGAGCAGCTATTCGTCACGTCGACGCACTACGCCGCCGCCGCCGCCGCCGCGACAGCGAATGCCGCGGCCGGGGAAGGCTTGGAGGAGGGGCTACTCTCTCCGCTTATCAGCCCCGCGGGTTCCTCCGCCAAGCTGGCGGAAGACGGGGCTGGGGCGGAGGGTGCGGGGAAGGGCAAGGGGGCGAAATGTTTGTTGTCGAGCAGGATGTGACTGCGATCGAAAAGTTTTTTGGGCAGATTTTGGGCAGTTTGGACAAGGTTTTGAAGGAGGAAGCAGGGCAAGGCTCGTGGGAGGAACTGGTTGGAGCGTTATCCGAGCTGAAACTGGCAGGGGAGGGGAAGGCCGAGGGGAATGCGGAGGAGAACCGCGAGGAGGATGCGGAAGCTAAGGGAGCTGACGTGTCTAAGATAGCCCTAGCGCAGGAAGCGGTGGGTCGTGCTAAGGAGCAGCTTAGTACGCTCGTGCGACGGTTTAAAGCCGTCGCGGAGGAGGAGGAAGCGCTGAGGCAGAAGCTGGCCTCGTTAGAGTCACTTGAGGAGGAAAACGCGATGCTGCGGGAAATCGTGGAGGGGGAGGCGGAGGCGGGCGCGGGGGCAGGGGAAGGCGCGGACGGCGCAGCGGGGGCGGAGGCGGAGCTGGCGGAGGCGGAGGCTCGGCTGGCGGAGGCGGAGGCGCGGGCGGAGGGGGAAAGGGTAAGGCGGGGATGCGGGACGACGAGAAGCAGGTTGCGCTGGAGGTTGAGGTGGGGCAGCTGAGGATCCGAAATATGGATCTAAAGCTGAAGCTAGACCGCCTCTCCGCTGCGCTGAAGGACTCCCGCGAGAGAGAGGCGCAAGCCGTGATCGCCCTTGAGAAGGTGAAGGAAGAGGGGGAATAGTGGATGAGGATGCGGGGGAAGGGGAGGGGGAAGGAGCGGAAGGAGAGGGGATTGGGGGTGGGGAGTGAGGAGGGGAAGGGAGGGGAAGCGGAGAAGGGGAGGATAAAGCGGAGAGTGAGAAGGGCGGTAAGGAGAAGGAGGAGGTGGCGAGGGAGGTTGAGGCGGGGCAGTGGCGGATAAAGCAGATGGACCTGCAGGTGACCATAAAGAAGCTGCGGGAGGAGCTTAAAACGAGGACGGAGGAGCATGCGGCAGAGGTTGCTCAGCTGAAGGCTCAGGTGCAGCAGAATAGCCTAGAGGGAGGAGGAGCGGGAAGCAAGAAATGGAGGAGAGCAGAGTAGCAGGAGGACTGGGGAGTGATCTGGCCAGTCCCACTGGTAGCGACGTGTCTACTGCTTCTGCTGGTGCCTCGGACCCTGCCGCCGCCGCTGCTGCTGCTGCTGCCTCTGCTCTCCCTCCTACCCCCTCTGCTTCGGGTTCCGCGCCAGGAACACCCGGAGCACGGGCATTGACTCGCGTGCTCTCAGGCTCGGGGGCGAGAAAGCAGGGGCGAAGAGGATGTGGGTCATGGGGGGAGGATGATGCCTGCCGTTGAATCTGCTGGTGCATGTGTTTCAGGAGCGGGTTCTGAAAATCAAGAGGAGGGTGGCCGGGCAGCTCCGAAAGAAAAGGATCAGTACACAGTGGGGCTGGAGGTGGAGGTCGGGCAGCTGAAAATAAAGAACGGGGATCTGAAGATGAAAGTGGACAAGCTGCAGAAGGAGACAAAAGAGCTACAGGAGCAGCTGGGGGCGGCAAAGGACGAGGTTGAAACGTGGAAGAAAGACGGCGTGCTTAAGGAGGTCCTGGAGGCGAAGGAGAGGGAGGTAGAGGCGCTTAGGAGGGAGATGGAGGAGGGGAAGAGGCAGGCGAGTGGGCTGCGCAGCGGAAGGAGCAGGAGGAGAGCGCGGTTGCGCTTGATGTGGAGATGGGAAGCTGCGAATGAAGAACATGGACCTCAAGAGCAAGGTGGAGAAGCTGCAGCAGCAGGTGCGCGAGCAGAAGGAGCAGCTGGGGGACTTGGCAAGGCAGGGGCGGGTGGGGAAGGGGTGGTGCTGGCAGTGGGGGCGGGTCGGAGAAAGGGAGAGGGCCGGTGAGTAGAAGTGCCAGCTGGAAGGGAGGAGTAGGCGGCGGAGTGGTGGGGGCGGCAGGAGGAGGAGCAGGAGGCGATAGTTTGGGAGGGGACGGGGAAGTGGGCAAGCTGCGTGCGCAGGTGAAGGAAGTGGAAAGGACGAAAGCGCTTCTGGAGGGAAGGGAAGAGGAAGGACGAGCGGATCAAGCAATTGGAGTCCGAGTGAAGTCCAAGGTAGTGGAGATGGGTATGCTGAAGAGGAACATGCAGAGGGTGGAAGGCGAGCTTAAGGAGATGGGGGCCACTCCTGCGAAGAAGGACGGCGGGAAAGGGAAGTGGGGGTCGGTTGGGAAGGTCGCGATGGCCGCTGCAGCAGCCACGGCTTTTGCAGCAGCAGCGGGAGGAGGGGGAGGAGGGGGAGGAGAAGGAGCGGGAGGAGGAGTAACCATGGCAAGAAGAGCGAGCGGCGGGGGAGCAGACGATCTGGTCGTGGTCCAGGACAGGCAAGGGGATGGTGAAGCAGCAGGGGTCAGCTCAGACGAGGAGGTGCAGCAGCTGCGAGCAGCACTCAAGGCCGCGGCGCACAAGGTGCAGGTGCTGCAACCGATGGCTGCGCTGAACGAGAAGCTGGTGAAGAAGCTGCAGGTTCTGGAGAGGAAAAACGGGCTCTCCAGGACCTCCTAGAGCAGGTGCTGGAGAGGAGGAGAGGCAGGGCTGCAGGGGGAGGGGAGGGTGGTGGTGGAGGAAGTGGAGCGGGAGGAGGAGGAGCGATGAGTGCGGAGGAGGAAGCAGCGGCGGCAGGAGTTGCTCGAGAGGCTGAGGGCCAAGGGCTGGTGGTGGATGATGTGGATGATCTCTGTGATGATGAGCTGGCTGATGGACCGGGGTTGGGGTTTGGGCTCTTTTCGTGCCTGTTCCAGAGCCGAGGCATGGCTCGACTCATGCGGTGAGAAATATGGGGTGATGAGAGTCCTTCATGGAAGGTAGAGGGGAAGGGGGGGAAAGGAGAGTATGGGAAGGAAGAGGGTTTTGGGAACGAGGGTGCCGTGCGAAACGGAGCATGAGTCATGCGTGCAAGATGCAGAGGCGGATGATGAGGCCCGGGCAAGGCCTCAAGATAGGATTTTAGGCATCCTGGCCAATCAGGGCGGGCCCCCAAGAAACGTGTAGCCGTCAGGGCTGGTCGGATATGTTCATTCTGATTCCTCTGGGTGGTTCTCCAATTATATACTATGTACAGGCCCCCAAATTGGTTTTGGGTCTGTCTGATTCGTCAGAGTCCACTGCCTTCCCTTGGTATGGGTGTCAGAGTTGCCTCCTTGAAAAAGTCTGAAAAATCAGAGTAGCCTACAATTTTTTGTCTGACCAATCAGAGTCATAGCCAAACTTTAGTATGAGCCTTTTTTATGGTTCTTCATTAGAGAATGCACTACAATTCACTACATGCACAGAATCAGTCAATATCCTGCATATCTTGCTGCGGTGCTGTCGCCATATCATTATCATAATCTACTTTCTCCTTTCCCTTCCTGCTGCTACAAGACTCGGGAGGGCATTGCTAAGGGGCTTCCTCTTCTTATAAGCCCGCCAGATGGTGACCACCTCTTGCCAGTCGGGGTCATACTCTAGCTGCGACATGCACATCAGATCTCCTAGCCTAGTATCCTTGAGAGCCCCCGCAGCCAACTCTTGATGACGTTCTGGCGGGAGAACCCGCGCTCGCACTCGACAGTGCTCAACGGAAGGACAGCCACCGCCACCCACAAGTTGACCAGGTTGGGTAGCTGTCCCTCCAGTCCTGCGTCTTTAGCATGGCGCTCAACCCCGCGTGGAATGACCTGTCCGCCTTGGGAAGCGCAGCAAGGACGGGAACGAAGTTGCGGAGCTCGCTCTGGGCTTTGCGCTTGTCTATACCTGATCAGACAAGGGCACACAACACAAGGAAACGGAGAAGGGTTGGGTTATCTGAATCACTACACAGGGTTAACGAAAAGACATGTGTCTTGTTTCATAAATATTGCGAAAGGGATACTGAAAGGAGTAAACAAATTTACCTGGCAGAATTTCGTCCTTGTCTTCAGCGCGGTAGTTGACCACGAGCGAGTTGAACCACTCGAGGCACTGCGTCCTCCGTGCGTGGCGGTCCCAGTTGGGCGGCCATGTGTCGACGCTGAACAGGCGCGCTCCCGACAGCTGCCGCAGATCGCCTAGGCGCTCGTCGAGGTTGCGGACCAGGCCCTCCGCTAGAGCCATGCACGCCACGACACTCCCATCGTGGTCGCTGGGCCCAGGGTAGTCCTCTTGGGGCTCTTTGTGCAGCTCGAAGGTGAACCGTGAAGGTCGGCCATCGGAGTCAATCCCCTCCACTGTCACTAGCTTGGACTTGCCGGGCCCGTGCTTGGCGAGGAACCGCGTCAATCGATCGTTGGGCCCGCCGGTGAAGTCGTCTCCGCAGTCTACGTAGCGGCTCTCTAGCAGCGAGGTCGTGCGGATGATCTGCGCGTGCACCGTTGTGTAGTCCAGCTGGTGGGTAGGGGGCGAGGAAAGCTAGGGCATCACAGAGGGATGTGTGGTTAAGGGACGAGCGGCAGAGACGAGCAATATCGACATGCATGCAAAGTTGCAAACACAAGCATTAAACATATTTACCTCCCGCTGCTGAAAGACCTTGTTGAGCACGTTCAGCAGCTCGAGCACGTCGGCGAGGAACACCAGGAGGAGCCAGAAGCGGTAACTGGTGACGAGCGCGTACAGCTTGGCGTCGTACTCCTGCAGCATGACCACAATGGCTGGTAGGACCTCGACCAGGCGGATGATAGCATCTCCGCGCGACAGCCAGCGGATGTTGTGGATGCCCTGGAGCTCGAGGTTCGTCGACATGAACACCTCCTGGAGCTCCAAGAATCGTTGATGCCAAGGGTTGGAGCGACCGAGCAGCTCAGCGATCTCGCGAATGATGTTGTCAACCATGCTGAAGACAGGGATCTCCTCAGCTGCAGCCTTTGCCGCCAGCGCCTCTCTGCGTGGGATAAGGGGATGAGATGCAATGTAGGAAGCAAATTAGCGATTGGAATTATAAACAAAACAAGCAAATAAACATGACATGCATACAGCAAACGGTTGACGAACCGATGGGCAATGCAATGGCAAGAGACAAGGTGCGGAACGCGAAGACGAAGGCGGGCCACAAGTCCAGAGCGCGCTCCCATCATGACGGCAGCGCCGTCAGTGCTAATGCTAGAGATGCGGCCGAGGTCGACGCCAATCGCCTGCAGATGGGACAACAAGAGGGCGAGTAGCGATGCCGCATCCGCCTTCTCCACCGTCAACAGAGCCAGGTACTCAGTTACAAGCCGCCCTTCCCGGATGAACGTGGCAAACACGATCATGTGCTTGCCACGGCAGCGATCGGTGCTTTCGTCGAGGCTCAGGCCAATGTAGGGACTCGCCAGCAGGTGTTGGAGTTGAGTCGTCTGTAGCCATGTGGCCGTCGCTTGTGTCAGTTCGCCGAAGCCGTACCTGTTACATGACACGCACAATGCAAGTTGTTGTAAGTTTCATATCTAAAGACGAAACATAGCGCAGTTCATAGTCACTGGAGTTCTCACCAGTTATAGTACGTGCCGTAGGCAGACTTCAGGAAGCCCTTGAAACTGCGCGATGAGAGGTATCGCACCAAACGAATCCAAGTTTCCATGGGTTCGTTACACTTGGCGCAGAAGTAGAGGGAGTCGAGCAACGCGATCACTCGCTCCTTCTCTTCGTCGGCCGCGCGGAGATGCAGGTCGATCCGCCGCTGGTTAGACGCCTGTTGCAGGAGATCGTCCTGCTTGGACATGGCGAGGCGATGCTTCTGCGTTCCGGCGTGCTTCTTGAACGACTGTGTCTGCACGTCCTTTGCTCCCTTGCCCGATTTGCCGGTATGCCCTGCAGGTCCTGCATGCACTGCGCATACACTACACTTGAAGGCCGGGAGCCCATCATCAGTTTTCAAAAGCATGAGCCAAGGGAATCTTTCAGACCAGCGAGATTTGAAACGCTCTTGGGCCTCAGCATAGATGTCCTCGTTCGTTCTAGCAGTGGACCTACCGCCAGACGATTCTGGCAAGTGAGCATGTACAAAGGGGCTCGGCACAGGCTCAGGCGGATCCTGGCATGTCGACGTTGAGGCATACGGCAGAATCACCTGCCTGTACCGGAACCTCTTCGCCGCCGTCACCGACGGCGTGGTGCCGGCGACAGGAGTTGAAGCAGTGGGCAGGGGGCTTGCATCCCCAGACTTCTTGCCCGCTGCATCGGGAACAGGTGCATCGCCATCAGCAGGGGCAGCGTCACCAGGCTTCCTCTGAGGGCTACGATCTGAAGCATCCGACTACCGCAGGAACTTTAGTGCGGCCGGACCATCGTGGAAATTCTCGGCACACCAGTACTCTTCGTCTTGTTCGTCATAATCTGCCTCGTCTACGTCCTCATCGAGGTCGACCTGCTCCATGGCCTGCAGGGGCGCGGTGGGAAAACAAACGCACTGAAAGAAAACCGAGGGGCTACACGAAGCTTGGCTGAAGTTTTGCTGGAGGGGGGAGAAGCAGGGGTCGTTTTCCCCGTCAGTAAAGAACTGATGGAGAAGGAGGGGGTATGCCAGCTGCAACTCCATCGCAGCGCGCGAGATGCTGTCCATGCATGAATGAACCAGGCACTCGTCGCGTCAGCATGGGTGCGATGCCTCGTCTGCTGTGCCTCACCCAGCAAAATACCTCAGGATTGGCGAAAACAACCGTGTTTTGGTCAAGGACCAGTCGGCTGCTTGGGCTATCTCTGTGCTGGCGCCATCGCACAAAATTTGCCCCCCGACGGCTCGGGCCGCGCCAGCGCAAATGTAATTCTGGCGTGATTGACGGTGACAACAGAGGTACCAACGCAAATCTCGCAACCCCCCTATAATGACGGTATTACAGGAATCAGAGTCCCCCCCCATACAAGGATGAAGCATCAGAGTACACATGTCAAAAAAGTCTGAAAAATCAGAGTAGGTACATAAAACTTCTCTGAAAAATCAGAGTAACATAGAAAAAAAAGTCTTTGGAATCAGAGTACACCCCCAAAAAAATTCTGAAAAAAGTCTGAATCAGAGTAAAAAGTCTGCAATTTGGGGGCCAGACTATGTATCAAAGTGAGAACTGAATGATAAGTAGAGAGAGAGTACAGGTGAATATACCTAAGTGTTGTACCCTCTAAGAGATGGCCCTATACAGTCTATGCAGACACAGGAGATACACATGTTTGACACACCCCCTAGACTGCATAGGGGCAGGTCCTGAACAAGCAGCTCAGGGCGGCACTACTAGTCCAGCCTCTGAGACAAGGGTCTAAAAGACCAGTCAGAAGGAGTACAGACAAGGCAAGACCAAGACCAGGGCGGCACTACTAGTCCAACCACTAGGAGAGGACACAAGTCCAGTCTGAGTACACATATAAAGGACAGTACAAAGTCAAGGCCCTAACAAGTGAGAGGCTACAGGAACTAGACCAAGCTGTACACAGTGCCGCTGATGATCTTTAGGCGCAAGCGCCTTCGTAAAGATATCAGCTGTGTTGGCACCTGAGGCCAAGTGTACTACGCGAGCCTGGCGTCGCTGCTGTAGCTCGCGCAGGAGGAAGTACCGCAGCTGAATATGCTTCGCTCTGCCCTCGAGTCAAGGCTCCTGACCCAGGAGGATCATGGCCCTGTTGTCAGCGAACAGGACTGGGGCAGAACAAGGCCGCTCACCTAAGTCAGTGAGCAAGAAGGTCAGCCAGCGGAGCTCCTATGCCGCCATGGCACCAGCGTAGATCTCGGCCTCACAGCTGGACTGGGCAACAGACGAGGAGCGGGTGGCTCTCCACGAGACGGCACCTGAGCCAAGGCTGAAGCAGTAGCCCTGGGTAGACTTGAGTGTCTCGGCGTCGTCTGCCCAAGAAGCGTCTGTGTGTCCAGTAAGGACCACTGGCCCACGTCCTCCTAGCACTAACCCCATGCCTGATGTATTAGCAAGATAACGCAAAACTCTCTTAGCGGCAGACCAGTGCTGCGGTCGGTGTCTGCCTGTAGCCACAAAGCGAGCCAGGATGCTGAGAGGGTATGCGAGATCTGGGCGAGTGCATGTCATCAGGTACATGAGGCAACCCACCAGCTCAGCGTAGGGGCCACTGGGCTCTACCGACTCCTCAGGAACTAGAGCAGAGAGTCTGTGGTCTACAGGCAGAGGGGTGGGCTGTGCAGAGGAGAACTGAAGGCCGAACCTCTGAAGGACCTGGCGCACCAAGTGTGACTGAGTCAGGGTGATGGTGCGCGCTGCTCTGTCCCGGGAGATCTGCAAGCCAAGGTAACAGTGCAGTTCTCCAAGGTCAGTGCACGTGTGTCTCTTCAGCA